AGGCATGTTGTTCAAACAGGTGAAAAGCAGTGGCAAATACTTTATACCCAGCTTAATTTTCATTTATTTAAGTTTGTATCATTATTATAATAAAGATAGCATCACTCACTATAACACCAGATGTCCTTCTCCAAATCATGTTTTAAAGGACACCCTGTTTCAGTTTTTAAAAACTAAAAATATTCATGTACTTGTTCAATTTTTGTTCTTACACATTCAACTATGTCCTTCATATTTGGCATTTTGATTTATTAGGCAATCTTAGCAGTAAAGACTTTTAGCAAAGCAGTGCTAGATTTCAAATGTACTGTGCATGGTATCTATGATGAATTAATTCCAGCAGGGCAATAAAGTTATCATTATTTAAATGCTAGTTTCTTTCAGAAGTTTTACATCTTAGTCAAGCTTTCAAAATCAGTATTTAGCTCATATTTCGAGGTGAATGTATGTGATTTCTTGTTATATATGTATATTTTCCCCGTGCTTAACACTTCCTTGTGTGAATCTGCATAAAAATATTTAGTAATATTTAATATTGATAGCTTAAAATGATGGATAATTAGTTAAGAATATATGATTACTCTTTAATCTATGGTTCATTCTGTGAAATGCCATATTCAGAATATTTAGGATTTAATGCATTTATTTGGTTAAATAAATTATACACTGAAAGAAACCAGAGAGTGGACATAAAATATCTTTTATTGTCACTGTAAATAGTTTTGTTTAAGAAAAGTTCATAGAAATAAATGGTTATTTTTTTCTTATAGGCACTGTTGTTTATTCTTAGTTTTTTAGGAAGTCATTTTTTTTTCATCCATTTGTTTTGATTAAATGATAAGATGCCAAAAAATAAAAACCAGGTTGAATAATGAGGCACCATGATTATAAGATGGAGTACCTGTGTATGTGGACAGACAAGTGTGTAGAAAGTAGAGGTTATTTGTCCTTTCTTACCATCCTTGACATGCACAGTTAGATCTGCCTATTACCTATCTATCCATATCCACTCATACATACATATACATATACATACACACAAAAGGTTGTGAAAGAGAAGGGGCGAGACGTAGGGCAGACGAGAGAAAGGGAGAGGAAAGGTGATAGAGAAGATCAGAGGAAAAAGGTTGAGTGAGCAACAAGGACCAAGAGTGTCCCTGGTGGTGGTTGAGATAATACAGCTAACTGTACTTGCCCAGGTCAAGTTTCAAACTTCTCAACATTTTAGTGAATATGAAATAGGATACAAGCAGGTTTCTGTTATCGTTCTGGCAAATGTCTATCTCACATGTTTATACCAATGAAACCTATAACTCTAAGAGGTAAAAATAAAACCAAGTCTAGCATTCAGTACTACCCTATCATAAAGTAAGGAGGTCTAATTGAGCTATGTCTTTATATCCTGCTATTTGTACAAATAAAAGACTACATCTTGATGCAAAATAAACACAAAAGCACTGTTGTGACTATAACAGGGAGTCATATACTAATTTATATAATAAGTGGTTGTGCACGCTTTATTCAAGATTATGGCTGCAAGAAATGGCATGAATTGCTGGGTGTGTTTAATGCTGGATTATAGCAATTTGAAACATGTCAAACACATGGCTAATGCCTCATGCTTCACTCATTCTTGCGTAAACCTGCATAGCCACCATCCATTATACCCTTGGTAACAACACAATTCTGCAAGTAAATATTGTTACACTAAGTAACCTTTCAATTCAAGTTGTTTAGGAAGAGAAAATGCAATCTTGTGCAGTCAGTTCCAGTGTCAGTTTAATGTTTCAAAAGGGAAGTGGTGTAGAGAATAAGTATCTGTACAGTGACTTGCTTAAAAAAATAAAAGAAGAAAAGGGAAAGAAAGGGAAACTTAATGCAGGGGAGAAAAGTAGAACTGTATCATTTGAGTGCAAGGTTGGAAGAGTTATTTTCTGATGTGGCGAAAAGTTGTGCATGATGAAAGATTTAAAGATTTAACTAACAGTTCAGACAAACATTAAAACAGCAGCTACCAACTTCACCTTTCCCTTTAATGATCTGAAAATTATTTTCACTGATTTTTGTAAAATGTTTGTGGTAGGATTGAGAAGAATGAATAATTTAGTTTGGTATGTTTGGGATCACAAGCATATTCATTTTGAAAGAATACACTGAATTTGTAATTATTTAAAATATACTTTAAAAGGTAAACATCACCTCACCATTGTGCTGGAAATATTTCCTCTAGTGGAAAATAGGTGTAGAGATATCACTAGGAGAAATTTAGTAAATATTAGAAAGCATCTTCATTTTCCTTAAAGATACTTCTCCTTTATAATGGGCATGCTCTAAACCTTCTTCTTTTGGTTAAATTACATAATATTCATCTAAGTGCACACTCTTCTTTTTGCATATTAATTTTGGGTTAGCTTCTGTTTTGTAGAGAAAAAAGTACTATTGCTGTTATTGTTTTGCTTAAGCATGATTTTACTTAGAGGATTGAACTTAAAATGTAAATCACATTTATACTCTAGGGCTTTATAAAGTCTAAAATTCCACAAGGGATAATAAAATCCTCTGGCTAATAGAAATTAAAAGTTATATAGGTCTTTCTTCATAATTGTAATAAAAATTTAGACGCACTGTCTGCTTGTTGATTATTCTTAATTATTTGATGGCTTTGATC